TTTCCAACAGTTTTGTAAGGCTGGGTTGTTCATCGCATACTACTGTCTAAAACTGTCCGGTCAGAACATCGTTGACGGTTTGAATATTTATAACACACAATGGAGATTGCGTAAAGAGCTGCTTGTGAAGGCGCTGAATAAGGAGGCTGGCATCACCGTTGCAACTGGCATGATGTGGGGACTTTGCTGAAATCATAACAACTACTACTATTTACCATTCACTGCTCTGTAACCATTGAAACACTGCGTCGTACGGTCCTGGACAGTTGTTTAGGTCTTCTCCTCTCGTACAATATAGTTTCTAGTTGAGATATTGTTCTGGTGTTGAGAGTAACTGAGGGCATTTTGAATGTATCAGACGTGCTGGGAGGTTCGGAGAGATCTGGATGGTGTTGGAGGAATATGCGTTGGTTTCCCTCAGCCGAGCTCTGGAGTTTTTTTTCATTGTTTACACGAATTGGGGTAGGAATGTACAGAAATTGACAAAAAAATTATTAAAATTTCTTCAGAATTTTCGTATTGTCACTTACACATGTGCAAATTTTCTCACATTGGGGATCGATCGCGCTATTACGAACAGGTTATGGAAATTTCACTGATTCGAATCAAGGTAGGGAAGGAAAGCAGAAGAATTGATTTCACGATGGGAAGACGTTCCCTCTCATTCAGTGTGGGAGAATATGCACATGGTCAACTGTATGTTGGTGACAATATGAAAATTCTGTGGAATTTTCTGGAAATTCTCATTGGTTTCTGTATACTTCTTCCCGAATTCGTATGTAAGTGAGGAAACTTCTGAGCTGAGGAAAGCGAAGATATATTCCTCCAATACTGCTCGCACTTGACAGGAGCCGGAAACTCTCCTTTGGTGTTGGAGTAGGAATATATGTTTGCTTTCCTCAGCTGAGCTCAGGAGTTCCTGAAGCTAATCATAGGAGTTAATTCACGAATTAGGGTGGAAGTGTAGAAAAAAAAGCAACAAGAATTTTCTTCGAAATTTTCAACACATGTAGTTGACCATGTGCATATTTTCTTACGCTGGAAATATCCTTCAGTTTTGCCGCTAATGAACGATGATCGCTTCCCCACCCATTCCTCTATGGAGCAGAGGAGGACCGAGATGTCTATCATGAACTGCTATGAAGGCTTTATGAAGGAGCAGGCCGATGGTAGTGCGGCGACTGATGAAAAGTAATAATATCGAATGTTACACTAAAGGGGGACTTTGTGTATTGGAGTTTCGCGAGCGGTGATATGAAAAACAGTAGTGAAAAACATTTTTCACGACTACTGCATATCACCGCGAATATCGAGTTTTTCACCGAGTTTTACGCCACTTCACGTAAAACGGGTGGTGGAACTCCATTGATTATTGATATTATATTTGAAAAGTATAAGTATATTTATGTTATTAAGTTATTACTGTCTATACTGCGTCATGTAATACTACACTATATAAAATCCGATAGTATCATCATTGTATAGTTATATCTATACTTATCACAAGGGAAAGTTCGACAAGTGGCTAGTGGCTGATATTATTGGAGTTTCACTCGTATTACGTGAGGTGGCGTAATACTCTGTGGAAAATCCGATAATCGCGGCATGCAGTAGTCGTGAAATATGATATTCGCTGGTGCTTTTCATATCACGGGTGAAACTCCAATGATATTGTATATGATTAATAATGGTTTAGAAGTGCTATTTTTTTAGGAGTTGATACCAGTGTGGGAAAATTGACATGTAATTGACCACATGTGTCGGTGAAATTTGTGGAAATTTTCGAGGAAAATTGAGGAAATTCTTCAATTGGTTTCTGTATAATTCTACCCGAATTCATATGTAAGTTGTATAATCAATGAGAAAGCTTCCGAGTTCAGCTGAGGAAGGCGAACATATATCTCAATACTGTTTGGCGTAGATGTAGATAACATCTTAGTATAGATTATGTTCATGGTCAACTGCGTGTGTTGGTGATAATATGAAAATTGAGAGGAAATTTGGAGAAATTCTCGTTGGTTTTTGTACACTCCATACCGTACCCTGGGAAACTCCCGAACTTAGCTGAGGAGAGCAAAGATATATTCCTTCAACATTGGAGTTTCACCCGTTTTACGCGAAGTGGCGTAATACTCCACGTGGAAAACGTGATATGTGCGATGTGAAGTGAATTGAAAACACTTCGCGAATTACACCTGCTCACATGCGTTTTACGCGAAGTGGCGTAATACTCCACGTGGAAAACGTGATATGCGCGATGTGAAGTGAATTGAAAACACTTCGCGAATTACACCTGCTCACATGCGTTTTTCGCGAAGTGGAATGTGTTTTTCACTAGTGTTTTTCACATCACGGGTGAAACTCCATTGTACACCAACTACGGAATTTGGTCTTGAAGGAATTCCTCACTTTTTTGACACCTCACTGTCACCACCTGTTTTTCTCAGGGCTTTTCAGCTGAATCGGGAAGCTCACACGAAGTTTCTAAAGAAGGCGTTGAAGTCGCTGCCGACCAAGTACAGCTGTTTAGACGCTAGTCGGCCCTGGTTCGTGTTCTGGATCCTGCGGGCATTGGAACTCTTGGGAGAGTTGGATAGGCTTGAAGTGGCTGAAGAGTAATAGGGTCGCGCGAAAAGGATCGATTTTTTGAAAAGGGCCTCATTTTTATGAAAGCTCAGGAGACTAAATTTTTGGGAGAAATGTCGTTTATTTCATCAGTGGATTTTTTTATTTATCAACTTTTGATTGAATTTGGATTTTTGATCTGCTTTTTTTATTTTTTTTATTTTCCTTGAGTTGGACACTTCGTTTATTTCGGAAGAAATGAAATCTTCATTAATCCATACTCAATCCCATGTTAATATTTGAGCGTTAATTTCCAAGGAGTGTATTTTTTCTCTGAACAAAGCTTAGATATAGGGAGGTTTA